AGGAGAAATCATGTTTGTTTAATTAATATTGGTCAATAATTAATTGGGAATTAATTTTGTGATCAAGTGTAATTAATTAAACTAGAGGGGCTGATTTGTAATTATGTGATAGTTACAAAATAAGGTAAGGATTATCTTATTATTAGGGTGAACAAATTTGAGGTGATAAGGACTTAGAATTCGACTATGATAAGGATTCAAAGATTATCTTATGGGTTGCTTTGTGGATAAGCATCTAGATAAAGATAATGACTGAAACCCTATCTGAACACCTATATAAACACCCCTTGGCACATGAATTCGGGTATCCCTTCCCAAGAAGTCTTAAGGACGAATTCTAACCTCTCTCCTCTCTCTTTATACCTTCTCCATTTGCTCTTGGTGTTTGTAAGCCATTAGAGGAGTGACACTTGTGACTCTAAGCATTCCAAAGTCAATTCAAGGAGATTTAGGATTGTTATTGCTATATAACAATCAAGGTATGTTCTTAAACTCATTCATATGTTAATATCGATTTCATATACTAGCATTAGGGTTTATAGTCTTGGATTCAAAGCATGTACAATAGAGAAACCTAGATCCAAGCATTAGGGTTTGTATGAGCACATAGGATGTCTTATGACCAAAACCCATCACATACAACCCTAATAGCTTTGGATCTAAGTTTTTCTCTAGTTATACATGCAATAAATTTTCCAAAGCATGAAGCCTACAACTAGCATACAATTTTGGTACATGAATCATAAAACTAGTTAGAATAATACATCTTTATTGTAGCTTGTAGCTTTGGCCTTTCAAGAGCTTAGCACCTCAAGTGTGATACCTCAAATGGTTCATAAACACCATGAACAAAGGAAGACTTTAAAAGAGAGGCTAGACACACTAAAATCAGTTATGATTCTCTTAGAATACATAGGTGTCAATTTTGGCCAATGGATAACACATATATATTGTAGGATTCCAAGAATCATGGGTAAACCCTAATCCATACACTTAGGTTATGATCCATATCGCATATGGGCTAACTCTTCATGGATACTTACATAAACTTAGCCCATCATGGATCAGTAGCCCAAAAAATATATATTATTGATTTACATAATCAGTCCCCGTTAATTTAATTAGTCTCTTTTGATCACTAAATTAATTTCAAATTAATTCTTTATCGATACTAATTAAATATTATGATTTCGCAATTAATATATCATACTTATAATATATTAGTAAATCATAAATAGCCTCTTTCTCAAATATTCATCCTGTCAGATTGTTCTGGTGAAGACAACCCAAATGGACCATGCTACACTCGGGTCAAGTACATACCAATTATAGTTATGGGCTTAGATACCTAATTCTCTCACTAGCTTTGACATGTACTCAGAAATCAGCTTATGCTCCCACTAGCTTTGACATATACTTAGAAATCAGTTGGACTTCTACAAATCAATACTTATTAAATTTCTTACCAAAGTTTAGATTTCTGATACGAGATGCTTTGATAAGCAATTATCTAAGCTCATACACCTTTTTATTAGAAATCCTATATGTGTATCTAAACTATTTCAGAACTTACAATAATAAGTCCCAAATGTTCAAACTATATGTCATCTCTCACAATTCGATCTATGAAGAGGGATATCGTAATCATAATCGAATTTGAGAACGCAATTAACACAACTGCCATATGTTGGATTATGTGTCTAAGCCTATAACTATAATTGATATGTACTTAACCCGAGAGTAGAATGATCCATTTCGGGTTGCCTTCATCAGGACTATTCGATAGGATGGATATTTGAGTAAGAGGTTATTTGTGATTTATTAATATATTATAAGTATAATATATTAATTGAGATATCATATTATTTAATTAGTATTGATCAAGAATTAATTTGGAATTAATTTAGTGATCAAAAGAGACTAATTAAATTAACGGGGACTGATTATGTAAATCAGTGAGACACATGGTTTAGGCTAATGATCCATGATTAATTTGTAATGGGCTAATCTTATGTGAAAGTCCATAAATTATTAGTCCATTTAAGTTATGGATCATAAACCCCAGTGTAGGAATTAGGGTTACACATAACTCTTGGGATCCTACATTATATATGTGTAACCCCTTTAGCCAAAATCGTACCTAAGAGTGATATTGCAAGAGATGGACGATTTTGAGCTTCATACACTACTAGAAAAACAGCCTTTTACGACGCTCATTGTGCGTCGTAAATGGCTCAGACGACGCGCAAATGCGCGTCAAGGAAGGCCCTGTCATAAAGAGAGACGACGCGCTTTTGCGCGTCGTCTATAGACGACGCTCATTTACGACGCGCCTTTACGACACGCAATGTGTATAAAGGAAGACCCTCTCATAAAGGAAGACAACACGCATTCGCGTGTCGTAACCTTACGACGCGCATGTTAATGACACGCAATGCGTATCAAGAAAGACCCTGTCAAGAAAGGCCATGTCATAAATGAAGATGACACACATTTTTGCGTATCATAATTTTAAATGTTTAAAAAAATATATTTTTTTATAGATTTACTAATTTTCAAATTAAATTTGCATTTAATGCATCATAATAGAAAATAAAATATCATATACAAAATATATAATCCATTTCATAAAATTTATTGTCATACAAAAATAGAATCCATTGCATAATATTTTATTACAAATTTAACATTTTTTTGTTTCCGTACTTTGACAATTTGTGTTGCTGCTGATTCCGGAGCCAATCTACGACTGCATTCCAGAGCTGATTCAGTGGAAAGAGCATCCCAGACTCCATCACTTGAAATTATATAAGCCGCCCATAAGCAGAAGATAGCTGAAGATCATGAATAAATAAAAGTTGTAATAAAAAGAGGAATAAATTTAGTTTAATTACTAATCACCAACACTCAAACCAATTAATGAAAGTTAAAGCATTTAAATAATATAGCATGGGATGCAAATATATCATGCATCGTACAAACAATGAAGATTTTTAGTTTATGGAAGATTATTGACATCATTGGGATTAAGAGTTTTCTTTGCTTATCCACTGCACCTCATATGTTTCCATCACATTTGAAGGATTATAATGCTACATAGCTCTATTAAAGATGTTGAAATATCTCTCTATTGTTATGCATGAAATCAAGACATATGATCTTCTAATACTAGAAAACAAGAGCTATTCGGAATAATAAAGCTACATACCTGAGTTTGCAAGAGGTATCGCAAGGTGCTGCCGACTCAAAAGCAAGCAGCCTTAGGCACTTATCAAGGACTGAACTGAGGATGCACATCTGATAGAAAAAAGTTAAAAGTATAATTACAAGGATTAATAAAAGTTATTCTTCAATAATGAGTTTATAAGGAGTTTCAAGATTTTATGACTCTTTTCAGCATCTGTAAAAAGTTTCTCAATTGTAATAGCAGTACTTCTGTTGAATATGTAATGGGTGATATTCGCAGTTGTACATGTCCCTTGTTCACCAAGGAAAACATAAGAACTAGGGGAGAAGAAAATAGGGATTAGAACAGCAGAAACAAGAAAAAACAGAGGAACAATATTGGTTGGTGCTATAGATAACTTAACTGAATAAAACTTGGTTCTTAACATATTAAAAGGACAACGGTTACACCTATATATGCTAAATAAGATAGCATCCAAATATAACTTGAGGGGTAGACACAAGAATTTTCAACAATAGTGGCACCAAAGCCTGTAACAACAAAAAAGATAACATCAAGGCTTATCTAAAAGAAAACCAAATAAGCTCAATACACTTTAATAGCAACATGATAGAAGCATATGGCAGTAGAACTAATCAGGTTATGTATAAAACTAGATACATTATATATTATACATAGATATAAATATAGGGAAATAATTTACATACCTGAACAACATCATTCCTTTGCTTCCTACGTTTTTGAGAGGCCTGAACTTGCAACTGGAGTTCCCTTATTGCATTAAGTATTTCTGCAAAGAATTTCCTCTTCCTCGTTTCTACTCTATTCTTTTCTTCCTCCTCTAATTTTGTTAGTCTGTGCAGCAAATGATGTTAAAAGAAGAATAAGTATTAAACTAATAACTTCTTTTTTCCAAAAGCATACAAAGAAAATTCATAAACTTTTATCAACTAGTCAAAGAAAATATCCATCAAGATTCAAGATTTACCTCAGCATCTCGTTTCTTCTTTTATCAACTTTTATCAACTAGATGAAAGTACACAGTTGTTTCTTGCATTTAACCCATTAAATGTTAATCTTTAGATACAAAAGAGAATATGGAAAAGCAAGATGTTATAAACTACAGTCTACCTTAAGTCCATAGAGTTCAAGCAAACACTTTGACTGAAGGTCTTCACCTATGCTTGTAGGTAATTCTAAATTCATGATAAAGAAACAAATGAGTAAAGTTAAATGATATCTACTAACAACTTCACCTGCCAGTAAATAAAATGTTAAAGTATAATACATATGCTTCTTATGGCAACCTTCAAGTTGTGTCAAACGATTTTGGATGTGGCTCTCGATCCATTTTTTCCTTGTTTCTGCCATTTCAGAACCAGTTATGTGATTAGATCGATGTTTGACCAAAGCCTCCTCAAGGTCTGCCATTAAATCTCCTCCATTTGGAAATGGAGAGTTATTCTTTAACGATATCAAAAAGTTAGGCAAACACACCATGTAATAGTTATAAGTAGAACATATTTTACTCGGTAAATTCTCCTAAACATGAACAGTAGACCATAGGTCTAAAACTGAAACTGAAATTACTTATCCATTGAACACAGGGCCGACCCTGAGATTTAGGGGGCCCTGTACAAATTAGGAAAAATAGGCCCTAAGACTGATAAAATATAAAATAATATAAAACAAAAATATGTAGTTTTTCATTCCATGTCATAATGAACCACACACAGGTCAAAAGCTACAAGGCAGTTCACGTAGACAAATAGAAAAGTTGAGTTCAACTAGAGAGAATTGCAAGAACACGTAAACCACTGCTATCTTCAATGCTCATAATGGTTTCTACACATTCATAAAGTATTGCATTCCCTGCATTCTTGTTTGACTCAGTTTTTGTTGCCACCTACACAAGGAATTTCTTAAATTCTTATAATTTTGAATTATATATCACAATTCACAATGAGCTTTATTAAAATAAAAGCTAACCTAGGCAAGAATGTGATTCATGGAATCACTAGCATCAGCATCTCCATGGCCCAAAACACGCAAAAGGCGAAGCAGTCTTATATGAAGAAAAGGGTCTGCAATACCTGAAACATCATATTCAGGAGCATATGGGTTGTTGACAACATCCTTCAAAACTTTCACCAACACCTCTGTGCATTTCTATACCAATGGACGAAAAAAGAAAATATATCTCATCACTAAAATTACTAATTTGCACTTATGGAATCATATGTCAAACAGTTCTTAGCGCAAATACACAGTAGAAAGATAAAGAAAGAGAACAAGAACTAAAGGAAGATAATCCCAACAAATAATAGAGGATCTTTAACAAGATCAAGTATATTTACCTTCCTGAAAATTTCAAGAGCCTCTTCATTAAGGTTACAGAGATCTGTACAGAGCTGGATTGCTATTAAAAGAACCCCATGATGTTTTTCTTTAAGTAAGGAAACAACAGGGTTGACAAGATTTTCTGCAAGGTTAGGGACCTTCTTTACAATCCTTATTGAGCACAATGTTGCCTGTAAATTGTAAGAACTTATGTGAGTATGATTCTTCATATGAAATGTGAGAATTAGATGAAACATCCTTGAGAGATCATGAAATGAAATAGATGTTAACATCAGCTTACTTTCTTTTGAATATTTGGATCTCGAAATTGCAGCAATCTTTCAACTTCAGGTGCAAGATCACGAGCCATTTCTATAGAACATGTATTACCCAAAGCACAAAGAGCTAGTCCCACAATGTACTAATTGGTGTGGTTAAGATCTCTGCAGATGATGAAAAAAAGGATTCTCAAGTCAACCATGTTGCTTGAACACAAGATACAGGAAAGATAAGAGTGAAGAAGCACATTCTTTTCTAACAGCAGCATGCTCTTCTGCAGCAGTTTTGCAGGCTCGTATTGCCCTAATAATGTCCCTGCAGTAGACCAATAATGTTTCATTTACAGTTTCAGACCCAACTAATTAACAACAAATTACGCATGTGGTATGAAATGTAGTCAAATCTTTTGCAGGTGAAGGATAAACCAGAAAGATGGAAAATCTTAAGTAGAGAGACATATGGTTTGCGAGGGATGGTTCATGACAGAGTTCACGGATTATCTTCAAACCCAAATTAGGATCTTATAAGTTAGTGACAGTGTCTTACTCATTTGAGTGACCCATCCAATCGGGAAATACATGGATGAATTCCATTAAATGTACGCAAATCAAATGCCCCAACTATTACGAACGCGAACTAACTCTCAATATAGACAACTTGAGATAACGTTAATACAAATTAGGTCGAAATGAAGAACTAGTTCAAAATTGATCACAAGGAAAAGCTTTAAAACATAAGATCAATTGTAAAAAAGCAACTCACCTTAGACGCGTCCCAGACGAAAAGGGCTTCATGATTAGGTCGGTTTTGAAACCGCGAGAGAGCTCGATCAGATCCTGAGATGTTTAGTGCAAAAATGAACTATATAACCAGGTTGTAGACCGGTGACTGCAATTATATGTATGTTTGATCAAATCGAGATCTGGGGAAAGGTCAATTACGAGGATCTGAAGAGGAATTTGAGATTTGTAACCTATGGATGCTAATGCAAACGTGATGATGATGACCAAAAATCTTGATTTCTCTCGCTAAATTCTTAGTTCAATCCGAGCTAGGGCTTGTAAGGCCCTAAATCGTCGGCGCTGTGTGGGATGAGAAGCGGTAAGGTCATAAATCGTCGGCTCTAGGATATAAGTAGATGGAGCATGTAAGTTCTTCACACTTTCAAGCATAATTGTAACCCAATCGTCGGCTCAAGCATAATTGTAACCCAATCATAGTCACTTAACGCGAAAATATGCGATTTTGGAACGGCGGAACTCTATGGCGAAACCGATAGCAGCTTGTACGCTTTCGGAGTTGTACTTCTTGAGATATTGTCAGGCGAAGAAGGCAACTGACGAACGAAGGAAGGAGTTTCGATAACTAGGCAAGGCAGCAGTCGAATCTATGGAGGGGGAAGAAAGGATCGTAATTAGGGCAAGAAGGAAACAAAAGTGGAGGATAATAAAGAAGGCGGGTGTTCAAAATTTTTGGGATTTCATTTTCCCCCTATCTACTAAACGCGCTTTTCATTAAAATTATAAAGCGACATTCATAGAGGACGCCCATTTAAGATACAGCGCCCTCCGTGTTTTTTTAATTTTTTCTCGTATGATGCTAATTCAAGGGCACGCAATAATGCGTGACCTAAATCCTTAAATTTTTTGAAGAGATGATGCTTTTTTAACGTCACTCTCCATTGCGTAACATAAATCAATGAGTGTCGTGGTTTGCGCGTCGTAAAAGGCTATTTTTCTTGTAGTGATAACTTCTCTCTCTTTATTCTCCAATTGTTCATAATGTTTGTGACTTATTTGCGGCAAAACACTTGAGGTGCTAAGCTCTTGAAAGACTAATTCCTACAAGCTATAACAAGAGGTAATCTTCTATCTTACTTTTATCATTTATATGTTAAAATTGTATGCTAGTTGTAGGCTCCATGCTTTAGAAATTTTATTGCATGTATAACTAGAGAAAACTTATATCCAAATCTATTAGGGTTGTATGTGCACCTTAGGAGTGTTATAGTACATAAAACCCAACAGTGGTATCAGAGCCATGGGTAGTTTTCTGTTATATTGTTTCTTGGTTTATTATTTAAAGCTAGAAAAACTGAAAAATTGTTGTCTGAGAGGGGGACTCGATGAGTCCATTCATGAACTCGTCCCCATAATCTGACTCGACGAGTTTAGCAGCCTGTTTGCAGTTTTTCGGACTTTTGGCCTCAATTGGATTAGAATCATTACCACAAATGGTTTTGTATCATAAAATCTTTTTTTTCTGATTTGGTCGTGATTATACTCATCCAGTTAAAAGATAAATTGTCAAATTTTAAGATAGTTACCAGTTTATATGATAAAGCTAATTATTTGTATTTTTTGATTTGAAAATATCTTACTACAAGAATTGTATTATGATCAAATTGGTAAAAGATAAAAATGATTATTTTATAAGTTTATAATTTGATCTAAAAGATATAATTTGTCATAAGTTTGGAACTCAAAGGTTTTTCAAGAGTTACAAATTTTTTCATCAAATTTGGAACTCAAAAGTTTTTAAAGGAGTTACAAATAAATTGATCTTAATGTTTTTGAAGAGTTCCATAAGTTATGGAACTTGAAATGTCTCATCTTCATAAAACAAGTTAACTCCTTAAGTTACGGACTTCAATAGTTTTCAAGAATTACAAAACTTCCCCTCAAGTTTTCAAAGTTGAAAAGTCTCAATTAAGAAACATTGAATTCATACAAACCCTAGTAATTTGAAAAGTTTTCAAAAATGTAACTCATGGGTTCATAACTTAAAACTAATTAAATAGTTTTAATTCGATTTAGCATCTTGATGTGTTTTGAATAGTTTAATTAATTCTTATGGAGTTTATTAATAGTTAATTAAATGTTTAATTAAAAGAGTATTATTAAGTTCATAGTCATATGGTTTAAGTTTAATTAAATTAAGAGTACAATAAGTTAATAGATTAAACCATCAAGTATTTTAAAAGCTTAAAATACACTCTTATACTATATAAAATTAAAAGTCTAATATTATATATATATATATATATATATATATATATATATATATATATATGTATGTATAATTAAAAGTTCAGCCTTACTGTTAGTAGGCCTCATTCACGAAGCCAATCTATAAGGGGGTTATAAGGACACTGCCTATAAAATAGAAATTGAATGGGTGTCCACTCTCACCCACCGCTTCCCTGATTGGTGGAGGGTCGTTAGCCGAATGGGTAGGATAGGACACAACCTCCCACTATAAGTATAATGAAATACCAAGTAACTAAACAATTTGTAAATTATCAATCTTAGTTACTTAGGAAAAATGTGAATTTGGTGTTATTCCACGAAATTGCACTTTGCACCTTGTTATGTCGTTAGTGGATCGTGTGTGGTTAACTGCCACACGAATTTGGGACTAAAAATGAGTGGCAAAGGGTAGTTGGATGTTAATCGTGGATCAATGGAGTGTGTGTGGTTAACCAGCACATTGATTAGGTGATATGTAACATCGAGAGTATCAAACTAATTTACATGGTTATTCACACCTTGTTTGTAATCCTCTGCATCCCAGTCATAAACTTGAAGGGCATAATCGAGATTAAACATGCCATTGAAAAGTTCAATGAATCTCAAAGGATCTAGGAATTTCAATTCATTTAAAACCTAAAATTCATTTTCTTTTTTCATTGTGGAAATTGGTAAATCGTCATTTACCTACCTTCAAATATTTTGCAATTGGATTACGGCATCCCTCTTCCGAATTGTAAATTATTGTGTTGGATCCTAGCCTTAATATTTCATTTGGGTGTTATATTAAGGACTTAGATCAACTAAACTCGAATTTCTCCCTTGTAGATGTCTAGTTCAGACAACTATGGTCTTCCCGAATCTTTTGGAAAAATCCTTCCTCATAAAGATGATGTTCATAGAAATCATACTTCACTTCATCCACCTCCTCCAATAATTCTCCCTAACCCACAATGTAACGCCCTGATTCTCAGGTATTGTTTAAATAAGATTTATTGGGTTAAGCCCTACTCGACGAGTTGGCTGACCTACTCGTCGAGTAGTAGCGGGGTGGGATCACGTGCTAAGTGACCTACTCGACGAGTCCATATTGGGACTCGGCGAGTAGGAGCTGGCAGATGAAACCCTAAATCCCGAGGTTTACACCTCTATTTAAAGGAGCCTCAGCCTCCTTTAGCCTTTTTGCAGTCTTTGAGAGCCCCTTAAAACCCTAATACGTGTGTGTGTGTGCCCATTGTGTGTTTGAAGCTTGAAAAAAGGATCTTTGGAGGGAGAAGGCTTGGAGGAGATGGATATTGGAGCAAGTAGAGTGTGGGAATCAGCTTTTATCTCAGTTATCATCTTCTGGAGGTAACCACATTGCCTATTCCTTGTGTATCTCTTCTATTGGTTAAGTTTTAGGGTTTTTGGTGAGATAATAAGTTGGAAATATGAGCTATGGTCTATATTTGAGGTTGTAACTTCAGATCTGGACCCTCCTTGGATTCTAGAAGCATAAAGTTTCAGTCTTCGTCATGGTTAAGGTACCTCTTGAGCATAATGTTCCATCAAGAAATTAAAATAGGCATTTAGAGCCTTTATATCCATGCATGCACATAAAGTTTGCAACTTTACGTGATAAGCATGCCCTATTAGTTTGGATTTGTGATTTGGAGTCGCTGCATGGCTCAAAATAAGTTTGTATGGAAAAGGGACTGAATGGACTTGGCGAGTCACAAGGTTGACTCGGCGAGTCACATGAAGATGGCCATGAACTCGACGAGTTGGATGAACAACTCGGCGAGTCTGATGAAGATTGCCATAAACTGGACGAGTTGGAAAACAACTCGGTGAGTCGGATGAGTTTTCTCTAGGATATGTATGTGTGTGTATCCATCGAGTTGCAAGGAGGAAAACTCGATGGGTGGCCTTAAAGTTTGATCGAGAATCGAAAGAACTCGACGAGTCACCCCGATGAACTGTCGAGTTGGAAAGTGCTTCAAGGAACCCGACGATTAGTCGAGGGTACTCGGCGAGTTAAGGTCAACATGGACTGTTGACCTTGACTGAGGACTTTGAATTTGACCAGGGGTTGACTAGTGGGTTATGGAGTACCTTATACGGTTAAGGACTTATGAGTATGTTGTACTATGATAATAGGTGGTAGAGCCTGTGTCAGGTGATCCGAGAGTTGGAGTTTACCTTTCGAGTCGACATCTGCGAAGTGAGTTATCCTCACTATATCGATAGGGTCTACGACACCAAGGCCGACCCTTTAGTTGTTATTGTTATGGTTTGCTACACGTGGTTATGATCTGTTAGATCGGAATCGGGATAGACAGTATGTTATGCTCTTATGATCCGTATGGATTGGTATGTTAGCGACTTGCTAGGTCGGTACTCTAGTTATAGGAGAATTATATGATTGATGATCAGTGAGATAGATATGTTTGAAGTTTGTATATGCCAGTATATGATAGTATGCACACATGGTTATTTGCTTGTGGTTGGGTTGAGGCGGTCCTGCTTTGTGCTGAAGGCCAATATACCCTATGAGCGGTCCGGGGAGACTGTAGGCCCACGTAGCGGACAAGTCATTCTGAAGGCTCGGGATAGATTCAGACAGACTGTAGGCCCGGTAGGGCAGTCCAGTGAGGCCGATGGCCTAGTATGCATGTTGATTGATTGATTATTACTGATATGGTATTGTCAGTATGGAATTGGTATTTTAGGGGTAGCTCACTAAGCCCTCGGGCTTACAGTTTTCAGTTTTTTGTTTCAGGTAC